TTCAACATGTAAGAAGTAGAAAGTACAGGTATTTGTGTTCAACATGTAAGAAGTAGAAAGTACAGGTATTTGTGTTCAAAATGTAAGAAGTAGAAAGTACAGGTATTTGTGTTCAACATGTAAGAAGTAGAAAGTACAGGTATTTGTGTTCAACATGTAAGAAGTAGAAAGTACAGGTATTTGGGTTCAACATGTAAGAAGTAGAAAGTACAGGTATTTGAGTTCAACATGTAAGAAGTAGAAAGTACAGGTATTTGGGTTCAACATGTAAGAAGTAGAAAGTACAGGTATTTGGGTTCAACATGTAAGAAGTAGAAAGTACAGGTATTTGTGTTCAACATGTAAGAAGTAGAAAGTACAGGTATTTGGGTTCAACATGTAAGAAGTAGAAAGTACAGGTATTTGGGTTCAACATGTAAGAAGTAGAAAGTACAGGTATTTGGGTTCAACATGTGAGAAGTAGAAAGTACAGGTATTTGTGTTCAACATGTAAGAAGTAGAAAGTACAGGTATTTGTGTTCAACATGTAAGAAGTAGAAAGTACAGGTATTTGGGTTCAACATGTAAGAAGTCAAAGTAAAAAGTCGTCAGAAAAATAAGTAGTGGAGTAAAGTACTGATACCAGAACAATGTACTTGAGTACAGTAACGAAGTATTTGTACTCCACTACTTCCCACCTCTGACTGATCAGAACTGAAGCCACATGTTTGCTGCAGCGATGCCGATCCGAAGCAGGCTTTTACAAGACTGTTGTACCCTCCTCTTCGTGCTCTCCTCCCTCCCCCCTCTTCACCCCAGTGTGTGGGTAGCCTCAGGTTTTTGAGGTTAGGTTAACAAGCCGCCATCAAAGACGTTTTATAAACTCGGGTCAGAGGAGGGTCAGGGTGCAGCGGGGTGTGTGGTTGGATTCCCTAAAAGAGATCAGAATACCTTTACTCGTCCCACAGAGGGGACATGTCCATCGCTACAGCAGAGACGAGACAGACAGCTTCATGTGACCTAAGAAGCATGCATACAAAATACACAATTTACAAAATACACATCCTGTAACAGCTCTGAAGATTTAGCAGCCAGGTATATATGCACATATTGCACATAGTATTTAACAACAAGGGGTGTTATAGTCTGTACAATCTGCAGGTTTACATGGTGCACAACACCCAGCTGTCCGTGCACGACACCCTGAAAGTAAAGATGAGAGAAGTGTTGAGGTGTTGATGGCCATTCATCTGAACATTGCACATCTTCCATGTTGCAGCTGTGTGTCCATAGTGGCCTTTTTGTTCCAGGCCTTTGAACTCTTGGGTATTTTACCTTCATCCCCCTCCTCCTCCTCCTCCTCCTCCTCCTCCTCCTACAGTAGAGTCCAGGCGCATTGAAAGGGTCATTAGTGCTAATCCTGCTAAACAGTGAGGAAGCAGAAACAAAGCTGAGACTCAGGATCTCTCGTGCAGACGAACAGACGACGTGCTCTGATAGGCTGCATGACGTACAGAAAGGAGGGTTTGGAAGATGACAGATTCTCGTGCGTGACGTTGCCAACATGCTTTAAACATGCTTTAAACATGCATCTGAAGCAAACAGAGAGGTTCAGAAGCCCAGTGAGTAATACGTTTCAGATTGAAGCACATTGTGTGTGTGTGTGTGTGTGTGTGTGTGTGTGTGTGTGTGTGTGTGTGTGTGTGTGTGTGTGTGTGTGTGTGTGTGTGTGTGTGTGTGTGTGTGTGTGTGTGTGTGTGTGTGTGTGTGTGTGTGTGTGTGTGTGTGTGTGTGTGTGTGTGTGTGTGTGTGTGTGTGTGTGTGTGTGTGTGTGTGTGTGTGTCCAGAGGTTAGTTCCTTCTGGTCGTAGATAAACTTCAGATGACCTCCTGAGGAAAGTGGAAGAGCTTAAATTAAGTTAGGAGCTCCTTCGTGGAATCGGAGTGTCTTTTAGCCTGCGTTAGATTCAATATGTGTGTGCTTATTAGTTTCAAACAGTGAAGCTATTGACGAGCTAACCACATCAGCACCACACGGTTTCTGTCCGTTTCCACAACGAGGCTTCCTGTCTGTTTTCTCAGAAGAACTATGAAGAGGCTGGGAACAGAGATGGCAACAGTACACACATCCTGTACTCAAGTAGAAGTACAGATACTCGTGTTTAAAAATACTCTGATGAAAGTAGAAGTACTGACTAAACTTCTTTACTCAAGTCAAAGTAAAGAGGGCTTTGAAATGTACTTCAGTAAAAAGTACCCATAACTAGCAGCTGTTTTAAAGAGTACCTGACCTCCCTTTATATTAATAGAACAATAATGTCATTGTTAGCTAATGAATGTTTCCATGCTGAACAACGGCAACATGACAACGTTTTCATTGGTCCCTCTTCTTTAGAGAAGACCAGGAAATGATGGATACACGGATCGTGTTCAAATCAATAGGCACGCAATGACTCTAAATAATAATGTAAGAAGTAGAAAGTAAAAAGTCGTCAGAAAAATAAGTAGTGGAGTAAAGTACTGAGACCAGAAACATGTACTTAACAGTAACGAAGTATTTGTACTCCACTACTTCCCACCTCTGCACAACACACTCTACACAACACACTCTACACAACACACTCTACACAACACACTCTGCACAACACACACTCTGCACAACACACTCTACACAACACACTCTGCACAACACACTCTACACAACACACTCTACACAACACACTCTACACAACACACTCTGCACAACACACACTCTGCACACACACACTCTACACAACACACTCTGCACAACACACACTCTGCACAACACACACTCTACACTCTGGCTTGGAACCATCAGCATGTAAAATGTAGTTAGCGCTGGGTGCTAACATTCATCCAGAAACTGAGTCTCTGTGAATGTCTATTGTTTCTGGGACGCTCTCCAACTCCTGCAGGAGAGTGTGTGAGATTGTCTCTCCCTGCATGTGTTTGTACAGAAGTGTGTGTGTGTGTGTGTGTGTGTGTGTGTGTGTGTGTGTGTGTGTGTGTGTGTGTGTGTGTGTGTGTGTGTGTGTGTGTGTGTGTGTGTGTGTGTGTGTGTGTGTGTGTGTGTGTGTGTGTGTGTGTGTGTGTGTGTGTGTGTGTAATGCGCTGAGGGCTGTTTGTCCAAACGGCGCCAGTGTTAGCTCAGCGCTGTCACCATGACTGGCTGCTAAATCTCCGTCTGGACCGCTGACCGCCACGACAAAAAAAAAAACATGACTGGTTTATTGCCACGTATGTTTTCACGTGTGCTAACAGGCTAAGGTGTAGTGATGCAAAACTGAAACGTAATAAGTTAAAACAAAATAAAAGCAAGTGCAAAATCATGACGTTTAAACTGAGAGTAGAAGAAAAATGCAATATATCTGCAATTGAAATTTGAAGGACCCCTTAGTGTTTTTCCATTTGTTCTCAGGTCATTAACTCAGAACAGAGACAGGAGATGATGGAGCACATGTTTCTGTCACGCTTCATCTCACAGCCATAACACTGAGAATCACCTGCTAAAACATGCCTTCTTTAGAATGAAATATATATATATATATAGGTGCTGAATCAGAGAGAATGGTAGGGATGCAATCGGGGTCATATTTGATAAGAGCGTATATAAAAAATGGATTATTTGAGTGATCAGTGACCTCCAGCAGATTGGTGTGGATTTCCAGCTTTCCGCCTAAAATGCATTTAATTTTCCACATTTTGCACATTGTATGCATTAATTAACACACAGCCTTAACATGATACTGAAGGTACAAAAGGCATTCAAATATACCATGAATATATCAAACATGAATTCAAATAGGCTTTAGATACACACTGATTGGGTGTCTCTTAACCCATTCCTTGTATATCTTTTGTATATTGCTACTGGGAATAAGTAATAATCTTTCTTTGTGAAGTGTCCCTTAGTTACAGTATGATCATCATTATACATTTCTCCCTGTTGACATTATTCAGAGTTTTTGAGTGACGACTCGGAGTCATCAGTGATTGGTAGATGTTGGTTTGGGGGTTAATGCAGCGTATGACTTCTGAGTGACAGGTGGAAGGTGGGCTGTGGGCTGTGATTGGCCGGGGCTGCGGAGTGTGTGTGTGTGCGTGTGTGTGTGCTGAACAGCAGCAGAGTGTTTCCCTCAGAGACAGGTCTGAAACAAGAGGAGAGAGGAAACATAAGAAAGTAGTTCTATAAGTAGTAGGATATAATAATAATAATACATTTGATTGATATAGCGCTCTTCCTGGTGCTCAAAGCGCTTATTATTATTATGGGATATAGAGATTCTGTGAGGTGAGATCTGCTCTTTGGTTTGTTTAAAATGTTTTCTTGGGTTGTTGTGATCTGGTTAGAGTTGTTTGTGAGGGATTTGTTTACTTGTTTTGACTTTATTGGAACTGTTGGAGAAGTTTTCCTGGTGGAGCATCGAGGTTTAACTTCTCTGTTTATGGAAAAAACCGTTTGAGATTGATTTCTCTGAAGTAAATATGTTGTCTCCACGCTTTAATGTTCAAAAAGCTTTATTTTCCTCACACTGCCTGTGCTGCAGCACCTCGTTTCACCCTCTGTCTGAAACCAGAGCTGCTCTGATTGGTCAACCTGCTTAGAGATGTCCCGCCCCTTTAGCCTTAATCACGTACAATGTGTTGGAGCGCCAGCCAATAGGAGCACGAGTGTTACGTAGTAATGTCACCATGTTTTGGAACTTTGTGATTTTAGCCTCTGCAAACCATTGACATGCACTTAAACAGAAATGTATACAAAAAAGTACAACGTTTTCTTTGTACTGTTTCTGTTCTGATTTGATGTAAAGCGTCTTTGAGCATTAGGAAAAGCGCTATAACAAATCCCATGTATTATTATTATTATCATTATTATTATTATTATTATTATTATTATTATTATTATTGCCAAAAGGGCCTCTTTCAAAGTTCCTAAACTGTTTTGAATTGTCTCTTTTGTAACGTTACAATGTGTTTTCTGTCTTCCCTTCAGCTCCTGGCTCTTTCTCCCTCCCTCCCTCCATCTATCCCCCTCTTCCTCCTCTTCCTCTTGCACCATGTTTCTCCACTTCCTGGCCCTGGTGTTCCTCCTGGCTCCGGGCAGCGAGGCTTTCTCCACCACCAGATCCCAGAGAGGCAGAATCCAGAGGGACCGCAGGAACATCCGGCCCAACATCATCCTCATCATCACCGACGACCAGGACGTGGAGCTGGGTAAGAGCCTCTCTGGTCTATCTATCTATCTATCTATCTATCTATCTATCCATCTATCCATCTATCCATCTATCTATCTATCTATCCATCTATCCCTCTATCTATCTATCCATCTATCCATCTATCCATCTATCCATCTATCTATCTATCTATCTATCTATCTATCTATCTATCTATCTATCTATCTATCTATCTATCTATCTATCTATCTATCTATCTATCTATCTATCTATCTATCTATCTATCTATCTATCTATCTATCTATCTATCCTAATGAAGCTCTTTGTGGGGAGCATTCGGTGGTCTCCCTCCTCACACATTAAATATTAACCAGAGGCCATAAGCCACAGCAGAGCGGCCATCTGGTCGATTAACCGCTGAATTATAATGGAGGTCAGATTATGTAAATGGGCTGAATTGTTTTGCCATATTTTATTCATATAAAACAGATGTGTTGTATTGTTTGCAAAGGGACAGGACAGGTACATTTGTTATATTTTACATAGCTTTAAAACAAAAAGGCAGGGAAAGTGCACGCTGTGCACAAAATACACTCTATATGCAACTAAAAACACTAGGTATCCAATAGTTTATGACCTTATTTCATTAGGTATGTTGTGCATAATTTGTTTGTGTCTTTTGCATGAAACAAGGCTTATAAAAATGCAGAATATTAATAGATAAAATGTTTTTTTCTAACCTATTCTAAATCAATTAAGTTAAGATTGATAAAATACAAGTTTTAAGTCCATTTATTGAGATTCTTTGTAGGGTTTTTGGTACGTTTTCTAGCTTGTAAACGTTTCATTGTAATACATGAACACTCTCCAATTTCAAAAGCGTTAGTAATATATCTTTTTAATGACCTTTCTTAGTGTCTGTGCCTCTAGACCCTAGTCTGGAAGTCATCTTTAAACGATTATAAAGTGCTCTATATGCAAATAATGTATAAAACAATAAAGATATGTGTACATGTGCAGCTCTGACCTCCACACTGTGTCCTCAGGTTCTCTGCAGGTGATGAATAAAACCCGTAAGATAATGGAGGAGGGCGGCACGACGTTCACCAACGCCTTCGTCTCCACGCCCATGTGCTGCCCGTCTCGCTCCTCCATGCTGACGGGGAAGTACGTGCACAACCACAACACCTACACCAACAACGAGAACTGCTCCTCTCCGTCCTGGCAGGCGCAGCACGAGCCTCGCTCCTTCGCCGTTTACCTCAACAACACCGGATACCGGACAGGTGAGGAAACACCGTGGAAACTCACATGATAGTTCACATTCAAGGGGGGGTATGGAGGTTTGGAGAGATGCAAAGATGCAGTTCTGGGGATGTTTACAGCAGAGGAAGACAGACAGGAAGTAAACACAGGAACACAGCATGGACTCTGCAGAGTTGAAGGACTTGTTCGTGGATCAGAAACTGTGAACAGACTCTGACAGTCACAGAAAACCTGGATGCTGTTGCTGCAGTTCAGCCGTTGGAACATTTTCACGTCAATAAAATCACTTGGAATTAATATCAGGAGTCAAGTGGTTAGTTTATTTAGTATAAAGCTGACATTTACTCATTATTTAACGTATAAAAGTGGCATTTCTCAGATGAGAGTCGTGCCAGCTCGCTGTCAGTCCTCCACTCGTGTTAGTCGATGCAAATATTTTACAGTAAGCTCGACTCCTGGCTGTCTGCTGTGAGAAATGCAAACAGAGTGTGTGTGCCAGGTCTCTGTCGTGTGTGTGTGTGTGTGTGTGTGTGTGTGTGTGTGTGTGTGGTGTGTGTGTGTGTGTGGTGTGTGTGTGTGTGTGTGGTGTGTGTGTGTGTGTGTGTGTGTGTGTGTGTGTGTGGTGTGTGTGTGTGTGTGTGTGTGTGGTGTGTGTGTGGTGTGTGTGTGTGTGTGTGTGTGTGTGTGTGTGTGTGTGTGTGTGTGTGTGTGTGTGTGTGTGTGTGTGTGTGGCAGCTCAGTGGGGTCCTGCAGATGCATTGCTCTGAAATTAGCCTCCTCTCGGACAGACTGGCTCTCTGCCCGGACTCTCCGAGAAACTGAGAGCAGCAGAGCCAGGGGAAAGACACACACACACACACACACTTCATTTCTGCAGGTACAGGTAGAAGCAAACAGAAAACAACATGCATTAATTAAAAGCTGTTTTATTTGCAATGCATCAAGTTCCTCGTCCACTTAGTCTGCAAAATGTCTCAGTTCTGACTCGTGTTACATAATATTCCAACCCGATGTTACATAACCTTTCATTTAGCTTTTATCCAAAGAGACTTACAATAAGT